CATTTCCTTCCATCCCCGGCAGGGACGTTTCCCAACATCACTCGGAACGCCATTGTGAATTGCGGGGAGATGGTGACCTACGATCTCATCAAGGAAACCCTGCTGAAATATCACCTGATGACAGGTAAGGGAACCTCTTCACCCCACCTGCCAGAGAAAAATTGGGAGCGAGGGGGCAATTCTGCATTATAGGCAGTTCTCATTCAGTCATGGCTTCCTTTAGAGACCATTGGCAGCTACAGCTGTGATTAAAGGAATGTAAATTTGCAACCACTAAAGCACTAAAGCAAAGGAAAGTTGAAGGCAGATCATAAGGGAGTCAGGGTTTCACTTAATAAAATGCTTTGCTTAACAGCCAAGTTGCTGGTTCTGATTGTGGTCGCTAAATGAGGGCTACCTGTTACGTGAAGAAAATGGATATATAAGAAATACAAGAAAACTGTAAATATATCAGCTGATGACAAATAATCCCACCTGCCAGATAAAAATTGGGAGCGAGGGGAAATTCTGCATTGCAGGCAAACCTCGTTTAGCGATGGCTTCATTTGGCGACCATGGGCAACTAGAATCGTGATGAAGAAAAGTAAATTTGCAACCAATCTTCACACGTAGGACCTTTGTAGCCCTGTAAAGATGAAGCCTGGATCACGAGCCTTATCGGGGTTTCGCTTAAATGCTTTGCTTAACAACCAAATTGCCAGTTCTAATTGTGGTCACTAAACGAGGACTACCTTTCGCGTGAAGGACACAGATATAGAAGAAACGCAATAAAACTGTAGAAATATGACCTTGTGGCATGGCAGGGAACGGCTTCATAAATGAAGGAAGTTTTTTTTTTAAAGGAAATAAATAAATAAAATTAAAAAATAAAGATTCAACCTGGAAATAAGGAGACACTTTCTGACAGGGAGAGCCATCAACCCATGGAACAGAAGTTGCCTTCAGAGGTTGTGGGAGCTTCATCCCTGGACTGGTCTCTGTCAGAAATGGTGTAGACCAGTAGTGGCTAACCTTTTTGGGCTCCTGTGCCAAAAATTGTGTGCGCGCTGGTGTGCATGTGCTCACATACCAGCACCCAGAAGGCCCCTTGCGCATGCATGCGCTCCCCCCTCACCCCCTTATCTGCACTGCACCTCCCAGCTGATTTTCGGCCCGTTTGAGGCCTTTTTTCACCCTCCCAGAGGCTTGAGGAAAACCTCTGCAGCCTTTGGCAGGCCGAAAAATAGGCCCCGTTTCATCACTTCCAGTATTTTCAGAAATACAGGAAGTGACAAAACGGGGCCTATTTTTCAGCCTGCAAAGGTTGCAGAGGTTTTCCTCAAGCCTCTAGGAGGCTGAAAAAAGGCCTCAAACGGGCCGAAAATCAGCTGGGAGGTGCACGCATGCGCAGTGAGATAAGTTTGCCTGCAGCTCGCATGTGGGCACAAATGGTTCTGCGTGCTACCGTGGCACGCGTCCCATAGGTCCGCCATAGGCTCTCCTGCTTAGGCAGGGTTCAGGTTGGGCTAGATGACCTCCAAGGTCCCTTCCAACTCTGTAAATACTTTCTGAAGAAGCAAATTTTGGAGAGAAGGAGCACCTTCTACCTGAGTTCTTGATGTCCATTGTTCTGAGGGTTTTAATCTTTCCTTGTTGTCTCCCCCAGACAATTTCCCGTGCCACTTCGTTGCTGCGTTTGGTGCCGGTTTCTGCGCGACGGTGGTGGCGTCCCCGGTGGACGTGGTCAAAACGCGGTACATGAACTCCAGTGCCGGACAGTACAAGAACGCCTTGAGCTGCATGCTGACCATGGTGGTGAAGGAAGGTCCAAATGCTTTCTACAAAGGGTGGGTGAATAATTGCTCCCCTCACCAAGAGGAAGGGCTCCCGATCCCTCCTCGGGGTCCCGCCAGAGACCCTCCTTGGAGGACAGATGGAGATACGGCTAGTCCTCAGCTTACAACCTGTTCATTTAGTGACAAAAGCCACAACAGCACTGAAAATAGTAACTGTTTTTTCACACTTACATTTCAGTGATCAAAATTCAGGCACGTGGCAAATGACTCATTTGTCAGGGTTCCGGCGATTGCCCACATTAAATCATGAGCCTCGGGCCAAGCTTCGAAAGAATCCAAAAGATTTATTAGGAGCAACGTGTCGGCATTATCCCAGATGAAGCCAACTCTGTGTTCTGACCCAAACCCTTTTCCAATAAAACAAATAATAACTAAAGGGAACAGAAACCTTTTAATGAGTCTTACAAATTCCCGGTTAAAAGGCTGCTGCAAACTAATTAACTTTGATAAGCAGGAGCCTCGCCAAAACTGTGCAAGGCTGCCAAGAATAACAGATAAGGTTACCTAGAAATATTTTACAACACAAGGGTCTTCAAATGCCAACTAAGATACTGCAATGTCCACGAGGCTGGAGTTTCAAAACGTCTTTGCTTCCTGCAAAGAACGTTCGCTTCACAGCTGGCTTTTATCTTCTTGAAGGAGGGGCCATTAACTTGCAGCCTTACTCCCGAGTCGCCCGTGCTGCTGCAGCTGCTACCATAGAGCCCAAACTCTCTGCTGTTACTAAGTGAGACTGTTGTTAAGTGAGTTTTGCCCCCAATTGATGACAATTCTTGCCACGGTTCTTTTTCTTAATTATTTATTTATTTTCAAAATACATATGGAAATTTACATTTTTAACAGTTCTGTGTCAAGTGTTGCTTATATTCTTAAATACAAAATGTACAATTCTTCTCCATATCAAACCTTGTTTCTCTTATCTAACCATATATCTAACATTTCCCAAACCTCAGAGAACTCTGACTCTTCTTTTAATTTCCTCGTCAGTCTGTCCATCTCGGCCCAACCGATTATTTTATTTATTATCATGTTTTCTGAAGGTACAATCACCTATTTTCCAACTTTGGGCATAGGCAATTCTTGCTGCTGTTAATATATGTTGTACGATGTATTGGATATGTTTTTTTGGCCACAGTTCTTAAGGGAGCTTTAAGGTGAAATGTCCTGTGGCCCCTCCACGAGTCAAAATTACATTTTTGAGAAGGAAGAGCATCTACAGCAGGGATCTCAAAAGACAACCATGACTTCCTGACCCCAAACATGGAGATGGGCCATCAAACACAACCTTGTGGCTGCCATCTTGGGGTGGGTTGTTTTTTTTTGGAGCTTCTGGGCACAGAATTTTCTCAGGCGCTGGCCCTTTAAATTCCCTTTTCCTTTTCCTTTCCTTTCCTTTTTCCTTTCCTTTCCTTTTTCCTTTTTCCTTTTTCCTTTTTCCTTTCCTTTCCTTTTTCCTTTTTCCTTTCCTTTCCTTTTTCCT